TATAAATATGACCCCTTGTGCTCATTTTCGAGTTTGGCTGGGAGATGGGGGAAGTGATGTTGCGCTGGACGCTATTATGACCGATGAAACTATGCTGGAAGATGCTGTGATCGAGAAAACTGCACCAATACGCTGCTGTGATTGAGAAAACTACGCTAAAGCGATGTTGTGATCGAGAAATCCGTGTCGAGACACTGTATGATCAACAAAATATGGAGAGCTGTCGAGCAGAATCCATGTCTGATCAAGAGATTTGATACGACGGAGAATCCGCTTTTTTCCGGAATCTGCCTATGATCTAGTTTTTTTTTTTTTTTTTAGAAGCTATTTCTAAGGGCTGATTTCTAGGTAAACATTAAGGATCAAGATAAGAGCTATCAAGAGGTGTTGAATCAAGAAGAAAGTGATGTTGAGAAGCTGTGAAATGCCCGAGACCGTTGAAGCAAACCGTAAACCTTCAGCCGAATCTCTGTGAGTTTCGAAGCAGGTGATATGGCACATGATATGTTTGGGTGATTGATTGCTTAGTTGGGTGCAGATAGGTGTGAAGTGCATGGTAAATACTTGATTTATCTTTAATTGATTAACTTGAAACTCTATGCAAGGTTGGTTGAATTGTGGTACTGAATCATGAACGTGGTCATTTTGATCCGTTCACATATGATTTCATATATGTTTGTTGTGTGTTAAATACATATGATTCTATGTGTTATATCTGTGGAAGTCGAAACTTACACAATCGAGATTTGTCTAGGGTTTTAATTTAGGGATACGATTTGCGAGAATTCTCAAAGAACGACAGAATCAATTGATACCAAAGATGGTGTTCTTGATATTATTAAGAAAAAGATGACTTTGATCGTACAAGAGTTTGATCGTAAAAGAAAAAGATGTTTATGCTGTGAGAGCTTTGCGTAGTGTCTATTCTAGAGCGATATTGCCTCCCTCTCTGTGAGAGCCTTGAGCCTCTTTATATAGGGGTGGTAAACCGCCTCTCCAGCGATATTCTCGGAAGATTTCCATTTATCTTGAAGTCGGCTGGAATATCGCGGATTAGGATAATTTCCTTATTCTTTGGAATCTTTGGGAGATTTCCTGATTTGAGTCGATCCTTCTAGATTCTCTCTTATCATTTCCGGGTATATCGGAAATGATGTCTTGCTTAGAAATGATACTTTTGAAGGCGAATATTTACTAAGTACTTGCCTCGGGTGCCTTGATGATTTCGGCTCGGGCAGCGTGGACGATGTCATGACGCTCGACCCGAGCTGAGGAGACTTTGAGAAGATTGGGCTCGGATACTCTCGTCGACTGAGCTCGGGTAATTGAGGGGAGGCGGCTCGGGCGATTTGTGAAGTTGGCTCGGACGAAGGGAGAAACCAGCTCGGATATGATGGCGTAGTCCTTTTGCCTCGGGCAATTCTGCGAAGTCGGCTCGGGGTGAAAGGAAAACTCTTTGCGTAGTCCCGAGCTATCACGGCAAACGTCCCCGAGCCGGTATAGGATGACCCGAGCCGTATCAATCGGCATTCTCCGAGCTAGTTCAGTGACTGATCCCGAGCTGTTTTGGCAGTTCCCCGAGCCGGTTTGGTGATACGTCCCGAGGTGTTATGTCTTAGCTCGGACTTAATGCGGGTGGAATCCGACCCCAACAATATCTGACCATATTATTCATTGTATTTAAGTGTTTGCATTCTTAGTATGCAATATTCGTGACTTAATGTCTGATTCCCTTTTACATATTAAGTTAGGGATATGTCTGCCCTTCCTCAATGGTGGTTCGTGTTAGTAAGTCTTGATCCTTAGTTGGTCCCTTACATACTTGACATAAGACTCGAGACCTAGGCCAGGTAATTCATGACGATGCATGTGTGGTTTTTCTTATTGGTTTCCTCTGTGGATTCAATAAAATTAGCGGTGGAATATTAGAAGGCATCATATTAGGGCCCTAGGAGTTGGAGTCTTGATACACAGACAAGTTTCGTGTAAGCATGCATCATTGATGATTGCTTTTTGTTTGCTTTCGTGTGCATTTTCTGATATACTTGTATATCGTTTATGCTTGTTGTTGATGTTGGGATGAGTTAAGCTAATGACTGTTGCAGGGAATCCATTTGTTTTGCAGAAAAACCTTAGGAGGAACCAATAGAGGGATGCTCGGAACATAGGAAAGCCAGTGTAGAGTTGTTGCTTTTGTAAAACTTAGTGAATTTCTTTTATTGATTCGATTTGAGCATGTAGGCTCAAGGGCCCATTGGTTATGATATGTTTTGGGTACTTGTTCTACGAAAATTTTATATGATACAAAAAGAGTATTTTCTTAGAAAGTGTGTGTTTCTTTTGATATTAGTCTTCTCTCGACTAACACAACTCATGGCCACAGTAAGGGTTGAAAGGCCTAAACCGTGTTTGTGAGATGTGGTTCACGTGGAAGGTTCAACTAAGGTTGTAAATTCATTTGGAACTTCTGTTGGATCGTCTATGTGAGCTATCTACGTGACGTCCCCGGGTCGTTCGTGGCTTGTCCGGTCATAGAGCGGTTTGGGGGCGTTACAAGCATGGTATCAGAGCATGGTTCATGATGCTCATGGGACACACATTTTTCAAAGATTTTATCGAGTAAATTGAGTCACAAAAGCAATTAGGTAAACCGGTATGTCCTGTGCTAGTGAGGAATGGGTTAGGTATTACTCTTGTTGTTGTTGAAGTTGGTGCGTTGAATTTGGATCAAGAATAAATGGTCGTGGTAGACCGCAATCAAGATTGTCAAGTGTTGAAATATATGGCTGAGGTCAGTAACGGGGGCTTGTAACTCAAGTGAGGGCAAGTTTGGGGGGGGGGGGGGGGGGGAAAAAAACCAAAAAATTTTTTCCATAAAACAAAAAAATTTTAAGGGAAATTTTCCCCATTTTTGGGAAAAAAAAAATCCAAGTTGGGGAAAAACAAAAAGGGGGAAATATTAAAAAAATTTTTTCGGAGGAAAATCCCTAATGGGAAAAGAATCCCAATCCTGGGAAAAAGGCGAAAAAGAGTTTTTTGTCCGAGGGAAACAAAACCAAGGGTTTTATCCAACTATGGAAAAATGGGGATGGTAATCCTGGGTCAAAAGAGGGGGGGTTTTCACTTTCTTCCAAAAGAAAAAAAATTTTTAGGGAAATCCTTACGGGGAAAAGGGGACAATTTCCCCCGGCAATTGAAGGGGGGAAAAATTTTCCAAAATTTTTTGGAACCTTTTTTT